GCACTGGGGGCGTGGGAGCGATCGACGACTCCACTTCAACAGCTTGATCTGAATGTCCGAACCGTGCGTGGCTTTCATGTCGTATTTCTGGGGTCGGTGAACCATGTATCGCCGCCCATGCCTGTATTTCTTCCTCTTGGATCTTCGCCTCCATCTCGTCGTTGGCCATAACCCCCTGCGGTGGCTGATAATGACATTGTTTGCGTATTTTTTGTGCACACATTGGTTCCTCCTCGGCCATGCGCATTGCAATATCTACTTCAATCCCCTCAGGGCATGGAGGTGGCGAAGCCTGCGGTATAGGAGGCTCCGCCCCCCCAGTCTTGGGCGTGGCCGCACCCGCAGTGGATGACGCCGTTCCCATCTGCGCGTTCGACCTCTGAATCGCATCCACGACCCCCATCTGCTGCCGCATTACCTCAGTCTTTTGAAACTCTCCCGCAAACCGAGCAAGATCCTCAGCGTCCCCCTTGATTGCCTGATCCTCCTGTTCTTCGTGCCATGTCTGCAAGTGCTGCTGATGCTGTTCAGGAATAAGATTATTGAATGTCTCCTCCGTCTGTCTCCTTATCCATTCCATTCGCTGCTCCTCCATTTGCTGGTATTGCTGGTATTGCTGGCTCTGGATGTTCTGCATGTTCATGGTCTGCTCTGCGTTGGCCCTCTGTTGTTGCTCCTGGATCTGTTGATATTGTAGCGCCTGCTGTTCCTGAAACCGAGCACATTCTGCCATGACCTGGTTCTGCAAATGATTTGACTCGTTCTCGACTTGAGCATTCCGTCGAAGTAGTGTCTGATGTAGCTCCCCCTGTCGTGTAGCTTGAGCCGTCACCATGGTTCAGCGCCTTCATCTGCTGAATCATTGCCATCACTCCAGCACTGGGCGCTACGTGCCGCTATTCGCACTGATCCTGCTGCGGGAGTGGCTGCGTAGAGTGCGACCCTGAGGATGCTTCGACCCGTCGTACTGCACCCTCCATCTCATATACCTTACCATGCCGCGTGTCCTCCTCATCGTCCATCAAGAAATCCTCGTCTTCCTCCTCGTTCTTCCTCTTCAGGTCACTCAACAACTCGAGCGCGCTCTCCCTCTTCTTCCTGAGCTCTGCTTCGTGATCAGCCAGCTTCCGCCTTTCACTCTGAATGTGCTTTGTTTTTATCTGCGCCTCCAATTTCTCAACATCATTTTCCAAAATTTGCCGTTGCTTGAAACTCGGCTTCGCCACCATCAACATATATTTCAATACCTTTACATCTGCCACCTGAGGGACACATCCTTGATCTGCTTCACGCGCTGCAATGATCATATTCAATAACTTGTTGATATTATGGTTCGCCTCGCGCTTGTACTGCTGAATTGCCTGGTTTCCTTCTGGTGGCGCCACATATACTGCGTGTTCATTAGCTCCGTCTGCCTTTGCTATTGGTATTTCATCAAAGGCTTTCTGTAGTCGTCCATCCCTATCACGATGCTGTTGATCGCGTGGTCTAGATTGACGTCTGCTTCCTCTTGGCCTTGACCATGGCTCTTTTTCTTTCCATGACTGCTGGTCCTTCTGCGTGTGGTATCGCTGATACTGCTCATTCGCCTGTGACCACAAAGGCGCCATTGCCTCCTGCTGGTATCGCTGGTCCTGGCTGTGCTGCTGGTTGCGCTGGTGCTGCTGGGCCGAGTGGTGGTTGCTCAAAATGTTGGCCGCCTCGACCACTCGCAGCAACGCACGCGCCGAGGCGCGGCGGCCTCTCTCCCGCCTGTGCCAGGCTGGCTCTCCCTGTCGCCTCGTTGTCGTCGCAGTAGCCAGCTGCCGCGGCCGCCCGTGAGGCAGCTCGCCTGAGCCCAGGCCGTGGGGGCAGCCCGCTGCACGAGTGGGGCGACGACGGGCCCCAGGCGCGCGCGGGCGGGCACCCTTCCTCAGCCTGTGGCTTTCCTCCTCCTCCTCCTCCTCCTCCTCCTCCTCCTCCTCCTCCTCCTCCTCCTCCTCCTCCTCCTCCTCCTCCCCCTGGCAGGGCAAGATACTGGGCCTGCCGCGACGACGGGAGCACTGAGCACGCAGGACAGACACCACGTCGTTCCGAGTTCGGCCCCCGGGGAGGGGCCGGGTGGTCGGGGCCGCGGCGCTCAGAAGTCCCCACGGTGTGGCGCCGGCAGGATGCAGCGACGAAGACCAGAAGGTTGGCGAAGAGAGACGGGGACGAGAAGATCGGTGCTGCTGGCCACGACTCTGTGCTGCGCAAGTCGGGTATGAACCGTGGGGCGCCTCGCGTATCTGGCCGCGCAGACAGAGGAGGGTATGGATCGTCGACATTCGGTGTGGTCAATGATTGCGGCGATTGGTTGAAGTGTGCGCTGACAGCGAGGCCATGCTGTGCTCTAGTGAACCTGTAATCCCACCAGACCTGGGGGGCCCTTCCAACACCCTGCGTCCCCTTCGGGGAGGGGTTTACCCTTTCCCCTCCCCCCTCCCGCTGGGCCTGGGGGGGGGTCCCCGAGACGCTGAAGCGTCCAAGACGGCCTCGGCGAGAAGCCCAAAATGATCAATGTTGTTAAGATTTTGGCCAAATTGGGGCCTCCTGGGGGAGGGGGGACCGAATTTGGGAGCTCCCCTCCTTCGATCGATCTCCTCCCCGATGGCCCCAGGCCCCAAGAGGTGCCCAGGAGGCCCACAAGAGGCCCCCAGGGGGCGCCACTGATGCCCCCAAGAGGCTCCTACAAGACCACCAAGACGCCCCGAGAGGCCCCCCCAGAGGCACCCAAGACGCCCCAAGAGGCCGCGGCAAGAATCCCGAAATCACTGACGCTCCAAAGGTTTTGGTCCATTTTAACCTCCTGGGGGGGGAGGGGGGGCGGCAAATTAAGGGGCCCCCCTCCGTTGATCGATCTCTTTCTAGATAGCCCCAAGATGGCCCCTGAGGCTCCCAATGGTGAAGCTCCCAAGAAACTCCCAAGACGCCCCAAGAGCCCCCCCAAAAAATGCACCCAAGACGCCCCATGAGGTCTCGGCGAGAAGCCCAAAATCATGAATTTGATGAGATTGGCAACATTGGGAATCCTGAGGGGGGACCCTGATAAAGGAGCCCCCCTCCTTTGATCGATCGCTTCCAGGATGGCCCCTGAGGCTCCCGAGGGTGTCCCAAGACGGCCCCAAGTTGTGCACAGGAGGCCCCGAGAGGCCCTCACGATACCCTCAAGATCCCCCCAAGAGGCTCCCAAGAGACCCTCAAGAGGCCCCAAGAGGTTCCCCAGAGGCACCCAAGACGCCCCTAAAAAGGCACCCTGGACTGCCAAGAGACCCCGAAGACACCCCAAGAAGACTCCAAGAAGCTCTCGGAAGACATCCGGAGAGACTCCGAGATGCCTTCAAGAGGTCTCTGACCTTTCTGCACGCCCTTCTCCTCCTCCTCCCCTCCTCCTCCTCATCATCATCATCATCATCATAAGCAGCATCATCATCATCATCATCATCATCATCATCATCATCATCATCATCATCATCATCATCACTCATCATCAGCATCATCATCATCATCATCACATCATCATATCATCATCATCATCATCACAGCATTCAGCATCATCATCATCATCAATTATCATTCATCATCATCATCATCATCATCATCATCGTTCGTCGTCGTCGTCGTCGTCGTCGTCGTCGTCATCATCATCATCACATCAGCAGCAGCAGCAGCAGCATCATCATCATCATCATCATCATCATCATCGTCATCCTCATCAGCAGCATCATCGTCATCATCAGCAGCATCATCATCAGCAGCAGCATCATCATCGTCAGCAGCAGCATCATCATCGTCATAATCAGCATCATCATCAACAACATCAACATCATCGTCACCATCATCATCAGCATAATCACCAGCAGCAACATCAGCATCATCATGATCATAATAATCACCATCAGCAGCAGCATCATCAGCAGCATATTCAGCATCACCAGCATCAACATCATCATCAGTATCATCAGCATCATCAGCATCATCAGCAGCACCATCATCATTATCAGCATCATCATCATCATCATCATCATCATCAGCATCATCATCATCGTCGGCAACAGCATCAACATCATCATCAGCATCACCATCAGAATCATCATCATCATCACCATCAGCGTCATCAACATCATCACCACCACCATCATCATCAGCATCAGAAGCATCATCATCACCATCATCATCATCAGCAGCAGCATGTTTATTAGGATCATCATGATCAGCATCATCAGCAGAATCATCAAAATCAGCATCAACACCATCATCATCATCCCCATCATCAGCAGCATCATCAGCAGCAGCATCTTCATCCTCATGCTCACAGTCATCATCAGCAACATCGTCCTCCTCCTCCTCCTCATCATCATCAACATCACCATCAGCATCATCATCATCAGCAGCACCAACATCATCATCAGGGTCATCCGCATCATCAGCAGCATCATCATCATCCGCATCGTCATCATCATCAGCAACAGCAGCATCATCCTCCTCCTCATCATCATCATCATCATCATCATCATCATCATCATCATCATCATCATCATCCACCTGCTCCTCCTCCTTCCTCCGTCCTCCTCCCCCTCCCCCTCCCCTCCCCTCCTCCTCCTCCTTCTCCTCCTCCTCCTCTCCTCTCCTCCTCCTCCTCCTCCTCCTCCTCCTTCCTCCTCCTCCTCCTCCTCCTCCTCCTCCTCCTCCTCCTCTCTCTCTCTCTCTCTCTCTTGCTAACGCTCCCTCCTCATCCTATGCATCCGCCTCCTCCTCCTCCTTCTCATCCTGCTCCTCCCCCGATTCCTCCTACATCCTCCCCCTCTTCGGGTACGGCATCTGACGAAGCCCTTTATTACACTGCATTCACCTCCAAATCCCTCGTCGGGGCAACCTGTCTGGGCATGGTTTCTGTATGGGCGAATGGGGTGACGCCAGGCGTCTGGAATTGACGGGGGAGAGCGAACACGAATCAGACAGCATCGCCAAACCGGCGTGGCCTTATGGTACATCTTGGAGTTGAAGCGGATGCCTGGCTCGAAGGAGATGGGCATGCTGCCTGCGGCGATGTCTATCTTGTCGAACCACCTGCGGGGGCATCAGTGGGCACAAAGATGGGGCAAGGCGAGGAAGGCCGAAACTGTCGTCCACTTGTTAGTCAGGCTGTGTGCGCTACTGCGTTTATCCGTCATGGCCTCAACGGTGGAATAAGGGTGGGGAAACGCGACCAACAGAGGACGTGCGTGGTGGGGGGGAGAAGCCGGCCCTCTGAAAACCTCCGCCCCCCGCCCATCAGGCTCCCCCTGGACCCATCAGTGTAGTGTCGGCGCCCGTGATGGCCAGCAGGGATGGAGGAGAGCGGACCGCAAGGAAGGTGAGGGAGGTCGTGGCCAGCAACCAGATCCATACCCTCGGCCTGGTGCGTCGGGCCCGTGGGCAACGACGCCGTAATTGCGGGGCGTTTTGTCGCGGAATGCCCCCGCGCGGAACGATACGACAGCATATCCACGAGATGACGCCCCAGAACACAGTCCGCGAGGGTGTGGATGTAATCAAAATCTGCGATAAGCATTGAGTGCAAGGATGCAAGACCCTCGGACGGGCGGGAAAGCCAAGAATACGCGCGTCCCAAACGCGCCAAGGATGGCCAGAGCCGAAGGATGCAGGGTGCCCTTGCGACAAAGACCCATCCTTGGACGCCGGCTCTGACTGTAGGGATACGTCTGCCGCTCGTGAGGAGGCGAGGTCACGGGCATCGCCGAGCGCAGCGGCAAAGGGATACGGCTAAGTCGGGCCTGTCCCCCTACAGGGGGATTTTCGACGAAAAACACAAGACACACTGAAAATGGTCAAAAAATAATCCAAAAATGGTCTGGGGACTATGTTGTGGAAATTGTTGGACCTTTTGGGGGGCATTTTCGGGGTATCTTTCATTTTTCGTCGAATATCCCCCTGTAATTAAGGGGACACGCCCGCTTCAAGGATACGGCCCCGCCCCCGGCTCGCCCCCCCGCCCCCCGAGCCCGGCGCGCCATGCCCTCCGGCGAGCGGCAGCCTCACCCCAGGGGACCTCGTCGGCCTTCTCTGGCCCATGCAGGGCGCGAGGCAAGGACGCCCCGGCCCCGCCGCCGTGCGGGTGGGCTGGCTCCGGGGGGGGAGGCATCGACCTGGGATCGGCGGGACACCGCCGATGGATCGACGACAGGCCCCAGCGGCGAATCCGCACGTCCCTGCGCGCGGCGGGCCATCGGCTCCCATCAGCGAGGACTGGGCGCTCTTGGGGATCGATGCATCCCCCCCAGGGCCGTCTTTATCCCCCCCTGACGTTGACCCGGCGGTGGACAAACCTCCCTTTAGCAAACCTCCCCTTAATGAAAACGGCCTGGGACCGAAACCGACGGACCTGGACCCTCAAGAATGACGGCCGCGACGCCCTCTCGCGAACCGCAAACGGCCAAAATTCCTGAATCGAGACGTCACGGTAGGAGGCCTATCCACCTCCGATTGACTGTGATGAGGACGCCCTTGCCTGGCCTGGCCGCCCTGTCGGCGGGGATCTTCTGACCCGGGTCAATCCAGACCCGGGTCAGTCAGGCCTTGCAGAATCCTGCAAGGTCCTGCAAGGTCCTGCACCCAAACCCGGGTTAACGCGCAGGACCCTGCAAGATCCTGCAGGATCCTGCACCCAAGCCCGGGTCAATGCGACCCTGGCCCTGCAAGATCCGGGCGCTCTGGCTGACCCCCGGTTGCACTGACCCCCGTCTCCAGGCTCCACATCCAGAGCGTCTTGGACTGTTTGGGAAGGGGTGCCGCAAAGCTGAGTCGCACTGGATATGGATAAAAGTCGAGCCTTTGGGGGCCAGATGTTGATCCGCCCCAAACTCCAAGACTCCCTGGATGTGGATGTAACTATTGCCCGCATGTGATGAGAACGCCCTGGCCCTGCCGCCCCTTGAGCAGGGACCGACCGTCCTGGCCTTCCTATAGACATACCACGAGATGTTCCTAGAACCAAAAATGTTCTAAACACAAAAACAGTGTCCTGAGAACATTCACCCGATGTGTTATAACAAGACGGTCCCAGCCCCCACTGGAAATCGAGGGTAAATCCGAGCCTTCGGGTCGGGTTGGGATAGTTTGGTGTGTGGTGAGACCTGACCCCATGTGTTAAAACAAGACAATATCCGCCAGAAATGTTCTAAGAGAACATCTCGTGGAAACCACAAAGAAGGTTCTCAGCACATTTTGATCTGTAGGGCTGTAGGCGAGCCAGGACACTTCGCCACTGCTTCATGAGGACGCCCTGGCCCTGCCGCCCCGTCGCCGACAGGCCCCGACCCCGGCCGAACGCTGGTTCTTTTGCCAAACGATCAAGGATGTTCCCTGTGTTTTTTTTGTTTCGTGCGTGTTTTTTTTGCCAAACGATCAAGGATGTTCCTCGATGGTCCTCGCCGGAGACAAAATGCACGCGTCCGAGAGATGCCAAGCGACATGCCCCGACCCCGGCCGAACGCGAGCCCGATCGCCCCCCGCGCCGCCCACGCCGAGCCGCGCGGGGGCCCCGCCGCCGCGAGCGCCGGCCGCGCGGCCCACCTCCCCCGCGGGGCCCCGCCCCGCCCGCAGGCCGGCCGTGCGCGCGGGGGGGGTGCGCCGAGAGGGGCGCGGCGGCGGTGCCGCGCGGGCCCTGCCGCGGGAGCCCTCGGTGGAGCTCCCCGTGGGGCCACGATTACCAGCCTCGAACGTACCCCCATCCCTAAGATTGGCACGCCAAAAGGCGATGACAGTCTCAGGGATGCGCCCTCAAGAGGTACGGGAGTCCCTAAGACTGGCGTCGTGATGAGGAGGTGCCCAGCATAGGGATAGGGATATGTTCCAGGCTGGTAACACGATGCGCCTGTGTCGTCCCAAGGGGGGACGGCCCTACGCGGGGCCAGGCGGCGGCGCCGGGGCGCCGGCATCACTCGAACGTCTCATGGTCGGATGTATGACAATTGGGGCTGGGGCCGGAGAGATGGGAGCCGGAGTCGGAGAGATTTGAGCCGGTTTCGGAAAATGGGTGGCGCGGACGCGGAGGGGGGGAAGGGAAGAAGGAGGAGGAACGCAAGGTGTCGTCTCTGCAAAACGAGGACCCAACACCACAGGATGGTTGGGACTTGAGACGCCAAGCTTTCGGGAGCTTAAACCGTTCTTGGACCGTCTCGGAGGCCTCTTGGACCGTCTGTGGAGCGCTCTCGGACCGCTCGGACCCCCCCCGAAGGCCCCCAATGGGTCCTGGACCGCCAGGGATACAGTGGGTACCAGGGGGGGGGGCAGTTTGGGAAAAGTGGGCCGCCTCCGGGTACCAGCGGGGGCGCAGTCGCCAGGCATATCATAAAATATTGCTCGCCCTCCCCCTCCTCCCTGCCCTCCTCCAGGGAACGACCCGCATGGCAATCTGTGGCCTCGCTCTGCCTCCGTACCTCCCTCGTCTCGTCTTCGGTCCACCTTCGGCGGCGACGACAGGGGCGACTACGTAGCCCAGGGGCGGGCATTGGGAGCTTCTGGTGGCGACGGGCAGGCGGGTGACGCTTGGTCGCGGCAGCGTGCCGCGCCTCGCGTCGTGGAACTTCTCCAGGAACGGCAGGTCGACCTCGGCGCGTGAGCGCGTTGGAGGCAAACGTCAGACACCATGTGGGAGGGAGGGATCAAAACATAGAGGTATGTGGATATAGCGAGAAAAGAGAAGAATGAAGAGAAGGAAAAAGAGAGAGAGAGAGAGCCAGAGCGACAGACTGATGGGGCACACAATGATGGGGGGCGAGAGAGAGGGGCAGACACACAGAAAAAGAAAGAGAGAGCGACAACGAGAGTGGAGAGAGAGAGAGAGACAAAAAAAAGAGAAGCAGAAAGAGAGAAAGAGAAACCGCAGTAGCAGGGCGAGCAGGAGCAAGAACAACACAGGCGGGCACGAGCACGCGCAAATCCGGACGGATGGTCGGACCCTCTGGAGACGATCTGAATACGGATCCTGGGAGAAAGAAGAAAGAGAGAGAGAGAGAGAGAAAACAAAAAGAGAGAAAGAGAGAGAGAGAGAGAGGAAGGCAGTGGTAGAGAGGGGGTGGAGGAAGAGCCGGGGAAGGGAAGGGGGGAGAAAGAAGTGGTTGGACGCCTCTGAATCCAGGCCGGGGACGGGATGAAAGACACTGAGCCGACGGAAGCGGGCGAAAACATGCCCCGTCGAGTGCTCCAAATCGGGCCCGCGGGCATGGACCTGACGACATGGCCGTGACGACGAGAGCTCTGCCCCGAGCTGCAATCATCGTCTGTCCCTACTTACGTCGACTGCCAGTAGTGCTCGCAAACCTTCGCCCTGACAATACCTGCAACCACAAGTTGGCCCTCACACTCCAGGTTCGTTGCGGCAGTGTCGCGCTTCTCCTCCACAACAGCTGGGGTGTGTAACACAGGCCCTGGGCCCGCCTTATCTTCCCGGAGCGTTACCCCCAATTTCAATCGCACTGCAATTGCACTCAGACCTGGAACCATCCTTGAATGTGCGCCTCCAGGAATACGCAGTTTCGATGTGGGAAGTTTCTGCGATCCTCTGCGCTTGCCTTGGCGCTCCCTTGCCGCCCGCTCGAGTTATTTCGCCTTCTGCTTGGACTCCTTACCAGACTGGGTGTGTGAAGGTGAGCACCCGCGCCCCCATCCCTCCCCTTGAAACCAGAGGCCACGGAACACTGGTGTTATGCCAGCTGGCTGATGATATGGTGCCCCTCCTCCTGCACCGCATCAAGATCATCAGCCGGCTCTCACTCTCTCTCTCTCTCTCTCTCATGTTCTCTCCCTGAGTAGTTCTCTGCAGATGCATGTGTACATATACATATATACGTATGCAGAGATAGATATGTGCGTATTCCTCCCTCTCTCCATCCTTGCACGTATATATCAATACATGCATACATACATATACAAGTCTGAATATATGTATATATATTTATACCTGTATATATGGGAATATATAAATATTTATATATATATATATATAGATATATTGCCCCAGAGGTAGGATGCTGGCGACACCGCACACCAGATCTCATTGGCGACGATCCTTTTCTCCAGGCTACCTGGAAGATAGGTAGCCTGGAGGCCCCTTTTAGCACCGAGGACAATCCCTTTGCAGCCGCCACGACCCCCAAACATAGCCACCGAGTCCCACCAGCCCTCTGGGCGTAGGTGGTTTGGAAAGTGTCTTCTTCCACCCCTCCTTCTTCCCCTTCGGGGAGGGGTTCACCCCTCCCCCTAACCCCCTCCCCTGGACCTGGACGGGGCGTTTCGCGAGCGGTCAGAGGGTACTTTTTCGCCCAAGATGGCTCCAAGAGCGCTTCGGAAAGCCTAAGATGACCTCCAAGATAGCCACCGAATTCCCAAGGAGTTGCGTCGCAATTGTGTATTTTTCTGAAAGCATGCAGCGGGGCAGGAGGAGGGTAAAGGCTTCACCCTCCTCCTGCCCCGCTGCCCGCGGGCAGCGGGCTGACCGCCCTGGCGCGCCTCGGTGCCCGCGTCGTCGTCGGCCCGCACGGAGTCCGTCGTGTTCATCATCGAGAGGACGCGCGCCTGCGCCCGCGGGCCCGGCCACCCGCGATGGGGGGGTAAGGGGCAGCGTTGGGGGAGAGCCGGCTCTCAGTACGGGACGTGAAAACGACCACAGCCACTGCTTTTCTCTTCTTGCCGCCTTCCAGCCAGCAGAAACGAAGCAGTGGTTGTGTGGCCACTTTCGTTGCGCTTGGCACCAGGGAAAGGACCACAAGGACTGCTCCTTTTTCGGCCTGCTGCAAGGCGGCGCAAACAAGAAGCAGTGGCTGTGAGGGAGGAGGGAGGAGGGAGGAGGGAGGGAGGAGGGGGAGGGAGGAGGAAGGAGGGAGGAGGGAGGAGGAGGGAGGAGGAGGAGGAGGAGGAGGAGGAGGAGGAGGAGGAGGAGGAGGAGGAGGAGGGAGGAGGAGGAGGAGGAGGAGGAGGAGGGAGGAGGAGGAGGAGGAGGAGGAGGAGGAGGAGGAGGAGGAGGAGGAGGAGGAGGAGGAGAGGAGGAGGAGGAGGAGAGGAGGAGGAGGAGGAGGAGGAGGAGGAGGGAGGAGGAGGAGGAGGGGGAGGGGGAAGAGGAGGAGGAGCAATAGGAGGAGGCCGTCGCCGGCAGATCGGGCGCAGGCCCTCCGACCGCGGGTCCTCGCGCTCCGGGGCGGGCTGGGCTGTCAGGCCCGCGTCGAGCACCCTGGGGAGGACACGAGGCACGCGGCTGCGAGGGAGCCCGGAGTGGCCGACATGGAGTGCTTCGGCGCCGACCTTGCTGCCGCGCCCGCTGCACCCTCGGCATCGGCTCAGTCCTGTTCCGCGGGTAGTGTGCGCCTGCTGCTGCTCACCCGTCTTTCTGCACAGTCCTACACATTCCTCCTCCTCCTCCTCCTGAATTTCTTCCCTGAACCTCCAGGGAGGCCGAGGAGGACGCAGAGGAAAGACGCAAAGGGCGGCAGTGGTTACCAAAGCCTGCTGTTTGGATGTTCCAAGATAACGGCAGTCACGTCCCCGCGTCTCCGCCCCCCAAAGGCGACGACACGTTCCGCGCAGGCGGCGTCTGGGAATGCCTAAGGATGACCGAGGCCACATGGGAGCAACATGTAGGTAGCTATCTGCACCACAGCGCTTGTGTACACCACAAAATGCTCGCGTGCACCATAGCGCGCGTGCGCACCACAGCGCTTGTGTACACCACAACACCCGCGTGCAACGCAGCAGCTGTGTACACCAAAGTGTTTGCGTGCATCACTGCGCACGTGTACACCACAGCGGATGTGTACACCGCAGCAGCCGTCTACAACACAGCGCCTGTGTACACCACAATGCTTGCGTGCACCGCAGCGCCTGTGCACACCACAGCGCCTGTGTACACCGCAGCAGCCGTCTGCAACACAGCGCCCGTGTACACCACAGCGCCTGCGTGCACAGGACAGGTAGAAGGAGAATGTGGGTGAGGACCTGCTGCGGACAGCTAAACACCACGCAAAGGGAGCGCTGATAATAGAATTCGATGTTCCCCCTTCCTTCCTCAACCATCCTCCTCCTCCTCCTCCTCCTCCCTCACCCTTCCCCCCGCCGTGCGGGTCGGCGCTACAACGCACGTGCGCATCTCAGTGCGCATCCCGGAAAAGTGGTTTATTGAATCAGTCCATCTGGTTCTGGGAAAATCAACTCGGCAGGAGCCTTCTGGACGCAAGTGGGAGGAACTAGGATGATGTGGCGGGACACAGGACTCGTATATTCTAGAGGCACTCCATTCCCATAAGGATTCAGATCCAAATCCCATATCAAACAATTGTATCCTGGGGGATTCACAAGCGCTCCATTTTGCACTAAGGATTTCTTATGAATTTCTATCTGCAACATAGGTGCTCTGTTGCACAAGGTTGCTGTGGTGCACACAGGCACTGTGGTGTACACGGGCGCCGTGTTGTCGACGGCTGTTGCGGTACACGCAGGCGCTGTGTACACAAGCGCTGTGCTGCACGCAGGCACTGTGAAGCACACTGTCGCCGTGTTGCACGCGGTTGCTGCGGTGCAAATAGGTGCTGTGGTGTACACCGGCGCTGTGGTGCACGCGGGCACTGTGGTGAACACAGGCGCTGTGGCGCCGATCGCCGACGACATGCTGCCGACCAGACGCCGCCGGCGCGAAACGTGACGCCACCGGCTCCCCTCTAGGGGGCGCCCAAGAGGGGGGTGTCCAAGAGGGACGGGTGCAAATCATGGCCCGGGGCATGAGCGCGGACCAGGGGGGGCAGGGAACGCACTGAAGCAAGAAGAGGGGCCATGGAAATCTGGGAGACATCATGGCCCCCGCCATGATATCCACCCCTCCCTAGTCATCACCCCCCTCTTGGCCGCCCCCGGCCTCCCCCCCCCCCGCCCGGGACGGCCGTCATCGCCCCAGAATGAAAAAGGAGGAGGAGGAGGAGAAAGAGGAGGGGGAGGAGGAGGAGGGGGAGGAGGAGGAGGAGGAGGAGGAGGAGGAGGAGGAGGAGGAGGAGGAGGAGGAGGAGGAGGAGAAGGAGGAACAGGCTCCTGCATCGCAAGGGAAACAGGTCCCGAGCAGGGCAGCAGGCACCGCGACCACGGCGACGCCCACGACGACAACGGCGGAGACGAGCCGAGATCACGATCCGCACCGAAGCACGGATTTGAGAAAAAGCCCACCCTGCAAAGGTCAATGCATATAGGGAGACAGGGAGGAGGAGGAGGAGGAGGAGGAAAACCTTGTGCAACGAAGAGAATATGCGCTTCCATCGTATCCGCGATTCGTCTGCCTCCATCTCCATTACTTCCCCTCCCTCGAGTTCCCTCATTCACTTCCCTTCCACCGTTCTCTCAACTTTCCCGTTCCCGATCCCCCCTCACTCTCCTAGGACTCTGCCTTGCGCGTGTTAGCTCTTGGGAGTCAGAAGGAAAGGGCATGAGGAGGAAAGGGAACGAGGTGGGAAAACAACGCAAAGCTAATGATGGTGATGAGGAGTTTGTGGGCAAGTTGAGTGAGGAAAGGATGAAACGGCGTAGGAACCATATGAGGATGAGGAGGAGCGAGGAAGCGGAGGAGAGGAGGAGTAGGAGTAGGAGTAGGAGTAGGAGTAGGAGTAGGAGTAGGAGTAGTAGGAGGAGGAGGAGGAGGAGGAGGTCGAGGGCATCAGCTCAGCCCGCATAACACACGTGAGCGTGTGGCTCGGAGAGGGCCCTTTCTATTCCCTGGAAAGAGCAGCTCCCGAAGCCACATACACCCGGAGGGCTGGTGGGGCTTCCAGCTCATGATTACCTTGAGCATAGTCCTCATCGTCGCCAACATCGGCAGCATCATCAGCAGCAACATCTCCATCAGCATGGGGAACATCGGTCCAGGATGTATGTGGGTCTTCAGAGGACTGGAGAAACGAGGAAGAGTGCAAATGAGTTCCACTTCTCCAAGAGTCAAAACTTTCGCACTCCTCCCGCTCCTCTCCTCTCCAGGCCATTCCCCCAGCCCGCCCACTCTGCATCACTCCACTCCTCCCCGCCGCAATCGTCCCCTCTCCTCCTTGATCCACCCGAGAGGATTTAATATGTTCAGGGCATTCGGAACAAGTAGAAAAACCATCTCATAGTTTCCTGCTGCACCTCTTCGTGGATTTCCTCCCCTCGCTCTGCCTTCTCCACCCTCCTTCTCCCATCCCCTGATTCCTGATGGGTCCTGAAGGGTCCTCATGGGTCAGGCGGGGCCTGACGTCGGCGCCTAAGCCTTGTTCGAAACTGGAAGTGGAAATCGGGCTGCGCACCACGTCTACTCTGCTAACTTCCTAACACCGGCAGAGGAAGAAGAGGAGGGATCAGGCAGAGAAGGCAAGGAGGAGAAGCGCAGGGAGGAGCAGGAAGAAGAGTTGGACGGTGGACGAGGAGAAGGACTCCAGTCATCTAGCCTGAGGCAGCCCCGGATCCCTGGCTGATAAGCCGCAGACACCTACAGACCCCCTGGTCGGTGAGCCCCGGACAGCCTCCTGTCACTGCGTCGATGAGCCTCAGACCTGCCCCGAGTCCCTGGTCAGCGCGCAGCCCAGGACCTCCGGCCAGCTAGCCTCCGACAGCTCCAGGGGTGCGGTGCTGGGGCGCGGCGACACTGCAGGATCGAGGGTTGGCAGAATCCTCAGCGGTGTTGTCTGTGCTCGAACTCGCTCTGCGTGCGCGGTGGCTGGGAGCGCTCCAACCACCGCGTCACCCCAAGAGGTCTTCGAGCAGCCTCGCGTATGTATGCAACGGACAATCGACCGCAGCATGCTGGAGGCACTTGTCGATTATCCTCAGAACGTGAGTTAGCGCCGGCGTTTGCTTGTCCACCGAAGCCGCCCAATACGACGCAGGCAGCGTAATGAAGGTCGATACAGGCTGCGTGCGGTGGGCGGAACTGGAAAGGGTAAATACACATTGGGCTAACACACGTCCTGAGGGTCATCGAACTTTGAGGATGTATCATGGTAGCGCGGTGGCCGGAACGGCCACAACCACCGCACACGAAATGGCTACATCAGCCTTCCATGACCGGTCGATACGCTGCCCAGACGCCAGACGCGGAAGCAGGATTACCACCGCAGGATCAAGGGTTTGTGATATCATGCCCTGTCACTGAGGGCCCGGTTGTTAAGGCGGTTCGGTATGGAGAGGGCCCGGTCAGTTCGACACTACTACAAGGATGATGAGCAGGCCGAGAAGGATTTTGAGGAGGCCGAGGAGCGATACTGGCATCTGTCTCGACGTGGAGGCCTGCCCCTTGGCAAACATCTCCGCGATGCGGAACGCAGGCAGCAGACGTAGCAACCACCGCCATACTAACTTCAAATGGTGGTCCCGCGACAGAGCTTGACAGCCGAGGTGACGCCGGAAAAACTCGAGTCCATTCCTCAAAAAGCTAGCAGACACTGTCTCCCGACACCTCTCACACGTGCGTGCTACACCGACACCTATCAAACCACAAAGTCGTCCAGGGCGAGCTGAGGGGCCTTCGGTGCCTTGCAATTGTCGCCGCCCTCGTGGCAATGGACTTGGTTCGCCTTCTCGGGCGCGGTGAAGTCCTTGACGACCGCCCAGGAGCACTGGCCCTCCACGTTGAGGGACCCGAAGCCGACGCGCACGTAGCCCATCTCGCCCCAATACTCACCCCACGAATTGCGCACGATCCAGTAGCCTCCGTTCTCCTGGTCCGTGCCCCAGCCGACGACTGATACAACATGGTCGATAGACCAACTCGAGTTTGTGATCACGCCACTTTCGTAGTTCAGCAGCGGGTTCGCGTCGATGCCGCAAGCAATGGGACCGCGCGTGTAGATCTCCTTCATCATGGCGTCCTTGCCGCTGATGGAGCCGTAGTCGGAGATGGTGACGTTCGGGTACGAGCTGAGGCCTGAACAGTCGCCGCCCTCCTGGTCGAAACTCCCGCAGGTGCGGGCAATGTTCTCGGGCTTGCACGTCCAGTCGCCGTGCTTGCAGAACCCCTCCGTGGACTCCGCGGAGCACGCCATGTAGGGCTGGGCAGTCGCGTAGCTCAATCCACTGCCGCTATCGGAGATCTGTTTCAACCACTGGTACACTCCGTCGATTGATCCACCGTGGCAGCTGCCAACGCCGCCACAATTAAGGATGTGCTGCACGGACGGGTTGATGTCGACTCCCTCTGCGTTGCGGGCGATCTTCACCCTGTCAGCCAGCGCAGACACCGCTCCGTGAGCCCAGCAGGAGCCGCAGTACTGGGGAATGTGCTGGTTGAGGCTCATGGTGCAGAAGCTCCTGCCGTCCTTGTTGCACCAGCTGAACTCCTCGGGGTACTCGACGTCGGACAACAGCTCGTGGGAGTCGGAGGAGTTGCCGCGCCAAACGATGCCCATGCCCTCCTGCACCTCGCGGCCGAGGAGCTCGCTCCTGCGCTGGCGGCCGCTGCCGCAGGTGAAGACGCCAGAGGGCAGGCGCTTGGCGTCCTCCTTCTGGTAGCAGGCGCTCGGGACCTCCTCGTGGTAAGTCGGGCCTGTCCCCCCACATGGGGATTTTCGACGAACATTTGAAACAAATATTCAAAAAATACTCCAAAGGGTCGAAAACTGTCAACAAAATCGTCCCCAGGCTAATTTTCTACTATGTTTGAAGATTCCCCCTGTGGAGGGACGGGCCCGACTTCATCCTCGTGCCACAGCGCGGCCCTGCACCAGGTGCACGCGGAGGCGGAGCCGCAGCTCCTCTCGTCGGTGTACCTCCCCCGGCACGCGTCGTCCGCCCGCGCGGAGGCGAGCAGGGCGAGGGCCAGGGCGGCCCTCATCGTCCCACGCGGGGGGGGGGGCGAGAAGCGCGGGCAGGGGCAGCGCGGACTGGGCAAGACGTCAAAGCGGCTGCAGATGGGGGGAGGGGGCCGAGGAGGAGGAGGCCGAGGTGGCGGCCGAGGAGGAGGCCGAGGAGCGCGGGGACGAAGAAGCCCAGGAAGAGGACGAGGAGGGCCGAGGAGGAGGCCGAGGAGGGAGGCCCAGACGGGGTCCGCCGGACGATGAGGAGGAGTGCCAGGGGCTCGAATCCAACCTCACCCCTCTTCACGGACAAACCCATGTGAACATGCACACGCATGGATCCTTTGGGAGGCTGCTGCGTCTAGGCTGACCAACCTCCCTATTGATTCGCCAAGCTAGCACACAAACAGAATCAATCTGGCTCAAGATCGCCTCCAGCAGTGAGGCCACGAAATCGCAACAGGTCGGTTCCCATTGACCACCGAGCTTCCCAAAGATCCCCCCGAGAGACCAACATGCTCCGAGCATTGCAGACGTTGACATGATTGTTGCCCTCTCGCCCATTCGCTTCCGCTCGTCTTCTGATACCTCAAGGCGGACACAAGATCGCCCAAGAAAGCCCCAAGAATGGCCCGAATACAGCCCCCGAGGCTGCCCGGAGCGCCCCCAAGGGCGTTCCAAAAGGGCTCCGGGAGATGCTGTGCTGGGCGGTGACAGGGCGAATCGAAATTCCAACGTCACCATGTTGAGGTCAAGTGCGTCCAAGAAGGCCCCCAAGAGTGCACCCCAGGCCCCCAGGAGGTTCCAAGAAGGCCCCAAGAAAGGGCCCCAAGAGGGCCTCCACGGCACCCCGATTGGCCAAAGATGCATTCTAGATTCCAAGATGGCCCCGAAATACCTCCAAGAACCTCCCAGAGCGAAACATCCGCAAGGGCCTTCATGGTTGACTCAGAATCGTCGTGCTCGTCATGTCATCTCGCCCTCATCATCTTTCTCGTTGTCCTCATCATCGTCCTCCTCCTCTTCCTCGTTCCTCCTCTCCTTCTCCTCCCCCCTCCCTCATCCCCGTCTTCCCCACCCTCGTCGTCCTCCTCCAACCACGGTGAGATCATCACAATTTGAGTGGGATGGGGAGAACATGTTCCGCGAACTTGATCAAATTCATGGTCACCCTCCTCCTTCCTCCTCCTCCTCCCATATTCATCCTCTTCCTCCCTGCTCATTATCCTCCCTCCTCCTCCTCCTCCTCCTCCGCCTCCTCCTTCGAACAAGCCGCGAAGATGTTCCCCATATTCGGGGATGGACAGACCCCCCTTTAGTAAAACGTGGTTTAGTGAAAACGACTTCGGGCCCAAACCTGGCGGGCGCAAGCCTGGAAAATAACGGCCACGGCGCCCTCTCGACAACCGAAAACGGACAATTCACTAATCGACGTGTCACTGTTGGGGGGTCTGTCCACCCCCGACATGTGCACGTATGCGTTTCGAAACCCGGGTGTGTCCAGGAGTTCCCCGAGCTTCGGTTTGACGGCTGCCTCCCTCTGAGTTGCACTGCGTGCATCTACACTTCCCTGGTCAAGGCAAGTCGCCTGGGCATCGTTGCTGGGGAGCTGGCATAACGGCACGAACAGCCCACGATGTTCTACAACAGAACGATCGTGATACTTATGATAGCGATGGTGATGTTAATGAGATGGTTGTCAGCGTGGGCCCAGGCGAAACCTCGCCACCGAGCGAAGCTCCAATGAGAACGATCGCATTTGATCGTCGCCAGAATCGTCCAACCTACAGCATCTCTGCTGGACCCTTCTTTCCTCGGGGACCTGCAGCGCGCGGGCCCTATCCCTGGACGCCCCCTGGTTCCTGGATCGCTTGTGCCGCCAGCCGACGTCTCTAGCCGAGGACCCTAGCAGCAGGCCAAAACAAGTGCGCAGGGACGCCAGAGCGACCCGAGGATGAGGACTCTCCCTCTCGACAAAGCCTGCTCACTCGGAGGGGGTCCTGCTGAGGTGGGAGGTGGTGCCGCCCTGCTGCCTTCAGGTGGGACTTTCGGCGCAGTCCTTCCCGAGCTGTCAACAGCGATGCCGATACGAACCCGAGCGGCATCAGCGAGACGGCCAGTGGTGTTCTCGACTGTCCTGTCTTGACGGCTGGCGACTCAGGCGGCCCATGCGCTCCCTGGCCGTCCGCAGGGCTAGCCAGGCCGCCGATGCACCCTGGCGCCAGGCGTGATATCTTGCTAGTGGGTCTCGCGCGTTCGGCGCACGAAGCGACTGCGCCCGCCGGGCCAGGCCGACTCGCAAACCTCCTCCGCAGGTGCTGCCCGCGCATGGAAGCATGCGGCAGTCGGCTGAAACACCCGATGCCGCGCCACGCGCGACCTGGCCAACTGGATGCATTACGGATGCATACCCCGCACCGCAAGACAAGGTCCGCCTGGCAGAGCGCGACCCGAGGGCCCAGGAGATCGCCGCGGTCATCGTGTGACACCTTACCCTCGTCACGACCATTGTTGGCGTCACGTGCACCTTGGTATTGCTCTACACCGCGACAGGGTATCACGCGGACGGCAGACGGACATGATCATGAATCTCATGAAGATCGGTGCCGCCTCGCTGGCAGCAACTACGTATCGAAGGCGCGACGCACAGAGTACGCCTCTCCCCACGCAGGCCTGCCCAGAATGATTCGGCGCCTGGGGCCAACAGGCCGCTCTTAAGGCGAGGATGTACTCCCTCCTCCCTCTTCCATTCTCCTCCTCCTCCTCCTCCTCCTCCTCCTCCTCCTCCTCCTGCTCCTCATCATCCTGCTCCTTCTCCTCCTCCTCCGCCGCCGCCTCCTCCGCCGCCTCCTCCTCTTCCCTCCTCCTCCTCCACTTCCCTCCTGTTCCTCCTCCTCCTCATCATCATCCTCCTCCTGCTCATCCTCCTGCATATTCTCCTCGTCCCTCCTGCTCTCACCTCCTCCTCCAGTCGAGTCTAATCCGTAGACCCGGTACGCACCTAGCTTTTGGGTGCGTGTCCACCGGGGCTAGGCGTGTGGCCCCCAGCGCAGCAATCGTTGAACACCTCCAAGGGATTGCCGGCGAAACGCCCCTGACCCAGATCTCGGGAGGGTCGCACAGCACAGTGAACATGGCGCCCCGGCCTTGGATGCCTCGAAACCGAGCGGTGGAGCGCAAGTTGGTGAGAACGAAGGGCGGACAGGAGGCGGGGGTCCGCGGTCGTGGGGGGTCGTGGGGCGGAGTCGGCGGTCGTGCGGGTTGGCCCTCGGGTGGCGCTGCCCGCGGCGGTCCTCCTCCTCCCCATCCGCCCATCTCGGGCGGCGCTACCCGCGGCGGTGATGACCGGAGCGGCGGCGACGCTGTCGGTGCAGTCGGGGGCCACTCGCGTGACGTGGGCGACCTCCTCCTTCTCAGCCTCTAGCTCCGTAGCATCTACCTGCTCTTCCTTGCCCTCTGATGCCGTCTCCTCCTCCTCCTCCTCCTCCTCCTCCTCCTCCTCCTCCTCCTCCTCCTCAGCCTCTACCTGTTCTTCCTCGCCCTCTGCTACCTCTTCTCTTCGTCGGTGCGCTCCAAAAGGGTGCGGCGCAGCCTGCATGCGGCCGTGGCCGTGCAGGCCGGCGGTCCACCGCACACGCGGGGACTCCGTGAGCCCCTGGCGGTTCGGAGGCGGGGGCGCGGGGCGCGGGGGCCCCGACCGAAGACGGCCTGCAGCAGCGAGGGTAGAGGCAGGCCCGAGCTGGACCGGAACGCGAGATCGGCTCGGAACGGAAAGAGTTGGATCGCCGGCGAGTCGTCCCGAACCGAAGCGTAATCGGATCGCCGTGCCTGGCTTCGGCTGGCCCCAGCCGACGCCGGCAAATCGAACCGAACCCAACCGAATCGGGATCGCGTGCCGAGTCGGCGAATCGAATCGCATCGAATCGGCGCGTAGGCGGCCCTGAGAAGGTTTCCTCCCCCTCCTCCTATCCTCCTTCTACTCCTCCTCCCCGTACTCCTCCGTCCTCCTCCTCCTCCTCCTCCTCTTCCTCCTCCTCCTCCTCCTCCTCCTCCTCCTCCTCCACCTCCTCCTCCTCACTCGTCTGCATCCTCCCGGTGAGGGGAGGACGGAGGAGGCCTCGACATCATGTGTTAGCCCTCGCCCCCCCTCACGTCGTCACCGCTGGACGCAGCTCGAAAGCACCACCTAGGACAGAATGGGAAGGGATGATGGGGGACCGGAGAGAGTGGTGTGAGGAGGTAACGAATGAGGAGGGAGTGGACAGAAAATGTGAGGGAGCGAAAGAGGATGAAGAAGAGGGGAGAAAGTGAGGGAGGCGGGAGAGAGAAGGGGGGCTGGAGCGGGGAGGGGATGTGAGCGACTGGCAATCATAATGGCATCGGCGCTGGCGCGCAGCCCGAGCAGCAACGTCGACGGGCTAGCAAGAGCGTCCGTGTACCTCAGCATTGTCTTCATCACGTCCGCCCTCCTCCTCCTCCTTCTCCTCCGCCTCCTCCTCAACATCCTCACCCTCTCTCGACCTCCACCGTGTGATCTTGTGCCATCCTCCTCCTCATCCTCCTCCGCCTCATCCTCCTCCTCCTCCGCCTCCTCCTCCTCCTCTCCGCCTCCTCCTCCTCCTCCTCATCCGCCTCCTCCTCCCCCTCCCCCTCCCAGTCCTCCTGCTTCTCCTCCTCCTCCTCCACCTGCTCCTCGTCCCCCTCCCCTCCCCCTCCCCCCCCCCTCCTTCCTCCTCCTCATCATCATCATCATCCTCCTCCTCCTGTACCACTAGGACAGAGCGCCAGGGGGACCAGGGGATAAGATGAGACAGATCTGCGGTGCAGTCCAGCCAAGGACTAAGAGACCAAGAGTAAGACAGGGATTCCTCCTCCTCCTCCTCCTCCTCCTCCTCCTACTCCTACTCCTCCTCCTCCTCCTCCTCCTCCTCCTCCTCCTCCTCCTCCCCCTCCTCCTCCTCCTACTAGTGGCATCATCCTGGAGGGACGTGTGGGCGTGTTGGGGGGGGGGCTGATGGCGCCAACAGCAGCGGGGCGG